ATATTAGCAAATACTCCTTCTCAAATAGAGTGGTGAAGCGCATGGAAGTGGTGGAGTCATCATCCCTGAAGGAATTAAGGAAATATGGAGATGTGGCAACAATAGACCTGTCTAGAATGCATGGAGGGGTTGGGCTGATGGCTGGACTGAGTGATCTTAGTGGTCTTTTCCAACCTCAGTTCTGTGATTCTGTGATCCTATCCTTCAGTTAGCTTTGCTCATTTTCATGCATGAAACACAGATGGCTACTGAACTACCAGAACCACTTTCTGAGGCAACCAAAATTGCTCTTGAAAACTCTGCTTTGAAGGACTACCCTGACCATTTGCAGGTAAGACTTGATTAAGACTATGACTGAAAGTGCTTTAGCTTCAGCTCATTCATTCACAGAATTGCCTGAAGTCAGTCAGAAATCAGGTACTGAAACACAGCAAAACCTGAATATTGGAACCTGGAGACAAAATGCATCACAGAGACAGCTGACAAGCTGAATTTTGTATATTCAGGCAGGAACTGTGGGCAGGCAGGAAATGGTAAGTGGTAGCAGCAGCATGGGACCAGGAGCACTGTGGGTCTTCAGGGCCCGGCTCACCAAGCTTTCCCCGAGCCACTGCTTTCCTCCTTTGTCCCTGGGCCAAGCACAAAGGGACGGAAAGAGCTCCAGCTCTGGAGCTGAGGGCAAGCAAGGTGGCCCGTCTCAGAAGCACTGCTTGCCCTCTGCCTGTTTTCCAGAAGGAGCACAGGGGCAGAAAAGCCTTGCTGCGGGCCAGGCAGCAGACGCAGACCTGCCACCTGCTGAGGCCTTCCTTCTTAGCCCAATGAGGGCCGCTGCAGGGCATGCGTAGTGTGACCCGGGCCAGGGCTGTAGGGGTGCAGAGGCCACGGTCAGCCTCCCCAGTGACTGGCCTACAGCTGGCCCTCAGGACTCTTTCTCATCCTGTAAGTGGAAAGCTTGGTCTTCTCCAGGAAGCACTTGGAGATGGGAGTCCCGCTTTCCTCTGCAGAAGGAACCAGGCGCCTCACCCATCGAGCACTGCTGTCTGGGCAGGCTTGAGCTACCAGGAGGCAATTCTGGATCTCAGTGCCTTCTGCTCTTGCACCACAGGGCCAACACTATGGAATTCACAGAGGACAACATGAAGCAGCCATGACCAGGTTAAGAGTTTATGGGTGAAAATCAGGGATCAAACCAGTAAAGGGCATGTAGTGGTTAGGGTCTGCTACAGGCCACCTGATCAGGGGAAGCCTGTTGATGAGCCCTTCTTACTCCAGCTGCAGGAGGTGTCGTGCTCACAGGCTCTTGTTCTGATGGGGGATTTCAACCACCCGATATCTGCTGGGATAGCGGCATGGCATGTGGCAGACAATGCAAGAGATTCCTGGATTCTGTCGAGGACAACTTCCTTGTCCAGACAGACCGACCCAAGGTGAAGCCTTACTGGACCTGGTGCTCACCAGAGTGGAGGAGAGCATTAGAGAGGTTAAGAGTGCAGGCAGCCTGAGCTGTAATGACCATGCCCTGGTGGAGTTTGTGATCTGGAGGAATGCAGGCCTGGCAAAAAGTAGAGTCAGGGCCCTGAGCTTCAGGAGAGCAAGCTTCTGGCTGATCAAGGAATTGCTGGGTGGGATCTCCTGGGAAAGCGTCCTTAAGGGCATGGGCACAGAACAGAGCTGGCAGCTCTTTAAGGACACCCTTCTGAGAGCACAAGAGCTCTCAATCCCCCAGCAGAAGAAACCGAGCAGAGGAGGCAGCTGACTGGCATGGCTGAGCACATACTTGCAGCTTAAACTGAGGGAAAATAGGGAAATGTACAGAAAGTGGAAGCAAGGTTGTGTAGCCTGGGAAGAATACAGGGACATTGTCCGCATGTGTAGAAATAAGATTAGGAAAGCCAAGGCACAAGTAGAGTTAAACTTGGTGGTGGATGTGAAAAATAACAAGAAGGGGTTCTACAGGTACATACACAGGAGACAGATCAAGGACAGTGTTCCCGCTCTGATAAATAAGAACGGAAAGATGGCTTCCTCAGACAAGGAAAAAGCTAATCTGCTCAAAGAGCGTGTTGCCTTAGTCTTCACTGGTGGTCCGGCTCCTCCCCATGTCTGCCAGGACCCTGATCTAGGATCTAGGCGTGGGTGAGAGAACCCAAGTCCCACTCTAACACTGTTAGCTGCCCCATGTCTGCAATGCGAGACAGCTGGCTGGAACAGTAAACCACAAATTAATGAAGAACCAACGGATTGATGGACAGAACCATAGCTAATAAGATGAAGGGCCAAAGCCAGTCACAGAATACACAGTGAAGAAGATGGCCTTCATCAGAAAGACTACCAAATGACCCCTGAGATACCATGCATGCATAAAAGAACTGAGATTCAAGGGTGGGGGGGAAGAATGTCAGTCATTCGGGGGACTCACTGTAATAACCCAGCCTTTTCATGGGCATGTAATGCATATGTAAGCAGCTTGTTCTTGAAGTACGTGCCCTTCCTGACCTCTGGTATGCAGGCTTGGAGGGATTACCCCCCTGCATCCAGCATGTACGCAGCGCTGAGTAAACATACCTGCTTTATGGTTATGGAATGTGATTCTGCATGCCAATTTGGTGAGCCAGTCAGGAGGCTCTTTGCTGGGCCATGGGGCTGGTCGGCCCAGGGGATGCTTCTGATGCACCCCGAGAGACTCTTGGAGAAGACTCCCTGGGCCAACACATCCACTACAGAACAGGGAGAGAACCCCAGCTGCGGACCAGGTATGTTGAGAACAGGGAAGCCATAAGTTGTAAGGAGATGTCCCATGCAAGGTATGAAGGAGCGTATGCTCCTCCCCAAGGAATGTGAGCTCACAAGCAAGGTTGTTGGCTAGGGTAGGAAGGCCCTGTGGGCCCACAGGTTTGAGGAATCCTACGGGAACCGATCAATCAGTAATTCAGACTCTCCTGAGTCTAGGAGGGCGTTTGCAGCGAATGTCTGAACAGTTCTGATTTTCTTCTTTTTCTTCTTCTTTTTTTCCCTGACCAGTTATAGGAACTATGGTAGTAATTGCTATAATCTCTCAATGCTTGTGCCGCAAAAAGCCTTCTTGCAGGATCTAGTCCCTTGTATAGATAACTGTGTTAGCCATTGTCACTCTCTGTCTTTGTAATTGTTAAATGTTTGTGATGTAAAAACATCACTTGTGGAATTCCATTCCCTGTTTAAAATACTCTTGTCTTGCTGGGGGATGTTGGTTATGACTCTTGCCCAGGAAATTTGGTGTTCCCGTGCCCTGGGAAGCAGGTGGACACCATTACCCAGCAATACACAAGGGATTTTCACCCAGTATCCAAGATGGTCGGCATAAGCAGCTGGTATGGGACAAAGCATGTCGAAAGAAATGCCAAAAAAGACTATTCTGGGTTGTATTTTGGCTCACTGGAGAAACGTCACTGATCAGCCAGGGGGAATGTGGGAATGGAATGTTTTGCAGTTAGAACCAACAAGATGAGTTTTCATGGTCTCTGCTGACATCTGCTGTCCCTTATCGATACCAGTAATTCTTTTGATCATTCTCTTTATTTTCCAACAAAATGGGGTCTTTATTAGTCCTCATCATTTCTCCTTTAGATAAACTTTCCATATTGATGCACGCTTAGTAGGTAGATGAAGTAATTAACAAGTACAAAGGCTGCAGCTTTTCTATTATAGGCTAAAAAGCATACTCAAAGGCTATTTTGTTTTGCCAAGAGGCCCTTAGCCTAAGGATAACAGACTTATCAAGCATCAAAGAAGCCAGGGCCTCTACACGAGGTCCAACTGTCTCACTCTCGAAAGGGATGCAGCAGATACTCCCCTCCATCCTCCTTCCAAACTTATCTTTGTCCAAGTATGAACAGGTGTCCAGGAAGCAAGTGTTAGAAGTCAATTAATTAGCAACATATTATATTATATATAATAATATGATATATATAATATATATTTGTTATATTTGTTATATATTATAGATAATATATATATGCATATATTTATTTTATGTTATATATTATATTTATATTATATAGATTATATACTATGTCACTACATATTTATATTATATATGTATTTATATAATATAAATATCATTTTATATATATTACTTGATACTATTATATATTATATGTCTTATATACTATGTATATTATAACATATAACTTATATGTTATAATATGAATAACATAAAATATAAATTAACTATGTTTAGCCAGTATCTGTATGTTCAGTTGAGTGTCGGGAAGACTGTGAACCTGAAATAGCCAATGATGAACCAGGGGAGGAAGAGAGAAGCATCAGGTAATGGGACATATATGATGTAATCTTTTTTTCTGTGTGCCATTGCAATTGTGAATAAAATCTGTTTTATCGGAGATGCTGTGCTGATTTATTCTTTGGATGTTTCCACCAGGAGCACTGAACAAGAAACCAGGAACATAAATGAAGTAACGGGACCAGTTTTTATACAACTGAGAGTTCCAATCATAAACTCTTTTTTCATTGTTCCATAAACACAGTGTTTGTGGAAACTGAAGAACTGTAATGGGATGTAATGGGACATCTGTGGAGAAATCGTACCAAGGGGGTACGACCTCCCCTCTCAGGGGGAGAGAACCATCTCTGATGAGTTTTTCTTTTAGGATCAACTAAATAGAGGCTGGGAAAACAAGCAGAAATACATAAATTCTTGTATGTGAAGGAAGGCCCTGAGACACAGCACTGTTCTGTGCACTGATGAGGACCAGCTTTACTGCTGCAGATTACGTATTAAGGCAGGAATAGATCCAGAGGGCTAGAACAAAGGACAGGCCGTATGCACTATCCCAGCCGTTTGGAAATAAGACCCAGCGCTGCAAGGGGCGCTCAATGCCGCACCACGAAGCACACCACCCACCCTCCGCAACCCCGCGACCGGAAGTTGCCAACTGGAAACGGAAACCACGCGCCTAGGCGGGGCGGGAGGACCGCGGCCTGCGAGATGCCGCCTAGAGCGGCTGCAACCATAGAGCTTCAGCCTGGAGCGGCCCCGCCGCGGAGCGAACGGCGCATGCGCTTAGTTTTGCTTCGCTGTGGCGGTGAGGAGGCGTGGGGTCTGCAGCATGGCTTCGGTGCTGAACCTCAACAACGAGGTGAGCGGAGAACGGAACGGGTGGGGACGGACGGGGCGGAGATGGGCTGTGGAGGAAAGGGAAAGGAAGGGAAGGTGCGGCCTGGCCCGGCCCGGCCCGGCCCGGCCTGGCCTGGCGTGGCCCGGCCCGGCTGCGAGGCGCTGCCGCAGTGCCTGTTCCGCCACGCCTTGCCACGGCTCAGCCGGGCCGGGCACGTTTCCCTGCAGGTAGAGAAGCCGAGCGTGGCGAATCAACGCCTCAGAGCCTCTCCTGTCCTCTCTTTCAGCGGGCTTAATATTGCTTTCACGCTTTATAGAATGAGTAGAATGCTATAGTGTGGTGTGTTTCGGTTGTGGTCGGGGTTTTGTTAATCAGTCATTGCATGTGAAGAGCCTGGCACAGCCAGAGTTACCTGCTGTACGCCTTTAAACATGGTAATTCTGCTGCACCTGTTGTACTAGCTCCAGCACTGTGCCTGGGTAACTCGTTACAGTCGCTATTCATCATCTGCAAGAGAACTAGAATTGGTGCTTATTTAATTATTCCCTAATTTGTTAAAAGCAAGTCTTATGTTCCAAGCACATAACAGCTCTGAGGGGGTGATCTGCATGCAACTCAGGAAGGGGAAGTAACCTGTTCATCAGAAAACGTGTAGCTTAATGTTATATGACATGCAGCTATCGAGCTGATTATTAGCCTTTGGTTCTTGTGACTGCCAAAATAGGTCACATGTAAGCAGCTTCACACTGAAGCCTGCTAAAGAAATTCCAAATAAGAACTTTTCATTCCTTACAGAAGAGAGATGCTCTTATGGGAAGAATTGGAGTAAGAAACAGTACTTGAATGAGGAATGGCCAAACCATTCTTCAGGAGAACGATTTTAGTAGTTTGTGTAGAGAAGATGGACAGGTTTCAGTAAAGACACTGGTGATGGTTTTATTTCTCACAGCTCAGCTAGCACCCTGTAGCAAGAAGAAACCAGAGGTTAGTTCTCTGAGAGATTCCTGAAGTGGTGAACTTGCATCAGAACGTTCCAGAGACAAAAAGTTACGCACTGTATAAAGCACATCAGTTTAAGACGTTCTGTAGTGCCGACTGAAACCTTTGCTATCTACCCATTAAGAGAGACAACAGATCGAGCTGGTGAAGAGTTAAGAGCCACATCTTTCTGATGGAGACCTGCTGTCTATAGATCTAACGTTTTTTTTTCCCGTTTATGCAACTTATCATAAAGCATCTCTAGTGTATTGTCTACTGCAGAAAGTGGTAATAAAATTTTCTTCACCAGGATAATGCTCTGTGTATTTAACTTCCTGGGAAGCTTTTTTGAGAGTTTGTCTTATTGTTAAGAAATATTTCTCTTTCTCTGATAAAGGTGGGATGATAGTGAGTGAGCATTAATCAAGTAATTGTATTAGAACTAAATTTCTCTTGCATGCGCTTCCAGTTTGGTAATGGGTGATATTAATGTGTAAAAATCAGTTTCATACAGTGCATTTGTTAGATTGTATCAAATAGACATAATGGCAATTATTGCAGTAAGAAATTTAAGTTTGTTTGTTAAGTATGTTTGTTACTGGTTTTTAAAGGAGCAAATAGTTATTAATCTCCAGAAACAACTTCTGCAGTGTAAATGGATTAAGCTGTTTTGGAATAGTTAAAAGCTGTATGAATAAGATATATTTGCTTATTTCTGTATGAGAGGAATGAGCAATCACTGTTGGAATAGGGTCAGTTTATTCAGTGACAGGAGATCTCTATTACTGTCATGTTGAAAACACCACAAAAGAGAAAAAGAAACTAGTGTGTGTTCCTAATGGACAACGCAGGCATTTGTTGCCAGTATTATCAAGAAGTAAGATGTGAAAGTGTCTTGGTATGACAGCAATGCAGGTATTTGATGGGGTGATTATTTCCCTTATCACTAGAGAATCTTGAAGGAAACAATATTATGAAAATCTTATGCAGGGAAATGAAACAAAAGACTGCAGTGTGTCTCCTTTCTTTTTTGACAGTCTTCGAGTTAATTTGGTCATTTCACAGAATCGTAGGGGTTGGAAGGGACCCCCAGAGATCCTCAAGTCCAACCCCCCTGCCAAAGCAGGTTCCCTACACCAGGTCGCACAGGTTCTGTCCTGTCTTCACACACTACTGAAAACAGTCCGGCCTCGCCATTCTGCCCCCCACACCTCAGATATTTATAGACCTGGATCCGGTCCCCTCTCAGTCTTCTTTTCTCAAGGCTGAACAGACCCAGTTCACTCAGCCTTTCCTCATAGCAGAGATGGTCCAGGCCCTTCACCATCTTTGTGGCCCTCCGCTGGACTCTTTCCAAGAGGTCCTTGTCTTTTTTGTACTGGGGAGCCCAGAACTGGACACAGTGCTCCAGATGAGGTCTTACCAGGGCAGAGTAGAGGGGGAGGATCACCTCCCTCGACCTGCTGGCCACGCTCTTTTTAATGCACCCCAGGATGCCATTGGCCTTTTTGGCCACAAGGGCACACTGCTGGCTCATGGCCAACCTGTCATCCACCAGGACACCCAGGTCCCTCTCTTCAGAGCTCCTCCCAACCTGTACCAGTGCATGGAATTATTCCTCCCTAGATGCAAGACTCTACACTTGCTTTTGTTAAACCTCAGCTCGTTAATTTGGAGAGGAGATCTTGGAAGTCTTTTAAAAGGTATCATTTAGATACAAAATAGTGCACCCATGGAACAGCAAATTCTCCCAGCTCTTCCAATCTAATGGCGAATGAAAATGAAAAAAAAAATTTAAATGTGATTACTGTATAATTGCAGCATGATTTCATGTGAGAAAAGGTTTTTTGTTGTTTTTTTTTTTTGTTTTGTTTTGTTTTTGTGTGTGTGTGATTCAGACATCCCATTTCTGTTTTTCTATTGAGTTTTGACATCTGTGCCCAAGGCAGAGTAGGAGGTAGAGAATTATAGGGAGACTAAAGGTTGCAGAAAGTTAAAGGGAATTAAAAATGTGAAAATTAGAGTTCTTGGGAAAGAAGAGGAAAGTAGTGTTATTTTTACTGCTTTTCACTTTCTTTTTCTTTTTTAGAGAAAAAAAAAAAACAAACATTAATTGAACAAAGATAAAAAGATGAATTACTTTTATATGTCAAGTGTATATGGCTGTTTTTCTGCCATGCTTGTCTACATGTGACTATAATTGTATTCTCGTCTTTATAGGCATACACACTGAAGGAATCCTTAAAAATATTGCTGTGTGATGATTTTCTGGTATCACAGAATAGTTTGCTGTACCACAAGAGGTGTATGAACTAAACTTTCTGGAAGCATGTGCTAGGTGGCAGCACATCATCAACAGCCATGGACAGGGCAAGCCTAAAGGGAGATAACCACATTTCATGTGTATGAAAAGTATGCGGGAGTATGAAGGAGAAGCTTGTGAATGGAAACCAAGCCAGGTGTGCCTTTTGTCATTTCTTCACCATCACATTCTGCAGATGCAGTTATTGCCATGCTCTCCTTTTTGATCTTGGTATTCACTGTTGGTTACAACTACTTCACAGAAGTGAGCCTCAGAAATCGCATGAGCTTGTGTAAATGATCTCTATGTGAATGCATTTAAAATGTGTAGTTGTAATATACATGAGTGCTGTAAGGGCCAAAGCGGTATGTTAATAAGTCGTTGTATTTTGTGAAGTGTCTTTAAATCTTATCAGAATTCAGAGTTGTTCCTATGAGTCACATAAATTGACTTTTAAAGCTATGTTGTTTTAAATAGTGAGAGCTGATGCCTAGATAAATGCTTATCCTCCGTTTGAAATGTTCCTTTTTTTCTTAAAGGCGGGTTTAGTATAGAAGTCCGTCTCGACAGTAATATGCATGCATACAAATCTTTCGGTCTACTAACTGAAGTGCAGATTGAAAAGATTCTGCATGGAGAAACCTAGCATTCAGACTCAAAGTGGTGAATTCTATTCAGCAGTTTTTTGGGTCCCAGAACTTTGAGGTGCTATGTTCTATATGGCAGCACTCATGTTCTCATCCTTCTTTGGTTTACAGCTGTCAACTTCTGGGTTATCTACGCTGGAAGGTAATCTGGGCATATGGCTTGGCCTTCAGGCTGGTGTTCAGCAGAGTAGAGTCTTGCAGTGTAGCTGCAGGAAATAACTGTAGCAGGTGAAGAAGGACTGAAGTATTCTTTGTGAAGCATTCGTGAAATCTCTGAAATTTTGTGAAATCTGAAGATTTGTGCTGAATCAGTAGTTCTATGAAACTTGCATCATTTATCACAGCACAACTGAAAGGAAGCACAATCCAGATATGGGTTCTTTTTTTTAAGGTGTATAAAGTGTAAAATATTTATCCATGCTTGTCCTTAACACATAAGATATTTGTTATTAATGCAGTAGGTCCAGCACGCTGATATATAATCACAGAACCATGGGTTCTGGAATGGACCTCTAGAGATGATCAAGTCCAAGCCTCTGATAACACAGGTTTCCTACAAAAGGTCACCCAGGTCAGCGTCCAGCCAGGTCTTGAATATCTGCTTAGAAGGAGACTACACACCTCTCTGGCAGCCTGTTCCAGTGCTCTATCACTGACAGGAAAGTTCCTCCACATGTTTGTGTGGATCTTCCTACGTTCCACCTCCTTGACCTATCTCTGAAGAGAGTCTGGCCTCATTGAATTGCCACCTGCACTTCAGGTATTTATAATCATTGATCAGATCTTCTCTCAATCTTGCTTCCCCAAGCTGAGCAGCCCCAGGTCTCTCAGCCTTTCCTTGGACAGGAGATGCTCCAGGCCAGCGATCATCTTCGTTATACATAAATGCCAATTTAAAATGTGCCTCAAGTGAAAAGGAAGTTCTGTCATTCAGTAGTCACCATTTCTGCAGAGACATTCCAGATAAAATGTAGTTTGAGACTACTCCAGGGTATTTATTAAAGCTGTTACTTAAGCTCTTCCTTACTTTCAGTCTTCAGTGTTTGACTGCCGCACCACTCAGATGTCATTTGCCTCTGCATGTTTCCATTGAC